AAGAAGAAGGAATCAAGCTATTCTCCAAAGCACCTGAGGACAGGACAAGAAGCAATGGGTGGAAACTAATCAAGGAGAGAAGCAACCTAGAACTAAAGATACATTTTCTGACAGTTAAAACAATTAATCAGTGGAACAACTTGCCTCCAGAAGTTGTGAATGCCCCAACACTGGGAGTTTTTAAGAAGATGTTGGATAACCATTTGTTTGAAGTAGTGTAGGGTTTCCTGTCTGAGGAGGGAATTGGACTAGAAGACCTCCAAGGTCACTTCCAACTCTGTTCTTCTGTAGGACTAGTGCATTTTTCGGACTAAAAGACGCACCAGAGTATGAGACATACCAAGATTTTGAAGAAGTAATATTTTTTTAAAAAATTTTTTTTTGCCCTCCCTGGCCCCCAGGAGCATTCTGCAGGCCTCCCAAACTCTGCATGCCCTGTTTTTGGGTGAGATGCATGGGGGGTTTGGGAGACAAAAAATGGGCCCGTTTTTGCCCTCCCCAGCTTCCAGGAGCACTCTGCATGTCCATTTTTTGCACACATACGAGTCTCTGCCTGAGCCAGGGGTCAGCAACTCGTGGCTCTGGAGCCGCATGTGGGTCTTTCATCCCTCTGCTGCGACTCCCTGTCGCTGGTCAGCTCCACAATTGATAGGATTTTCAGTTAGGACAGGTACAGGAAAAAGGATGCCGCACTAGGAAGAGACTCTATGGTGGGGGAACCGGACTTCTGGTCGGCTCCAGAATTAAACGGGGGGCTTCCGGTTAGGATCTTTGTGGCTCTTCAAGTGTTCAAGGTTGCCAATCCCTGGCCTGAGCTGTACATTCCCTCCTTTAAAACGCCTGTGTTTCTCCCTTCCTTCCTCACAGGAAACCAAAAGCCGCCACTGACCAGCATCGAACGGATAAGAAACATTCACAAGTCCCGGCAGGAAAGAAGAGCGGATGTTGGTCAAGCCCGAAGCGGAATTGGGGACTCTGCAGCAGGAAGCCCTCTAACAGACCCACCCCTGCCGGGATCCCACAAGGCCGACCCGGCACCCTCGAGTGAAATCGAGAAGGCGTGGGAAGAGTGCGAAAGGAAAGCGGTGGAGAAGCTGGAAGGCTACTTGCGCAACAAAGGCTGGAAACTCCAAACTGGGCACTCGAGCCGGACGGGAATTCTCCAGGATGTCTTGTCCATCGTTTGCAAGGGCCGTACGGCTCCGTCTCTGCCGGTTCTTACTTCTCCTGTCCAAGAACCCTCCTTTTCTTCCCCGACGCCCCATTCTGAAACGTCAACAGAATCCCAAGACTCAGCGGAGCCGTGCAAAAACTCAGAGGACTCTTCGGCTTCTCCTCCTCCTCCTCCTCCTCCTCCTCTTCCTGCCTCTTCTCAGGGCGGCTTGTCGGACAGAAGCATTCGCCTGAAAAGGAAGCGTTCTCTGCCAGCACGGTTTCAGTGCTGACTTTGTTTTATTCCCTTTCGGGGTGGTGTGTTAGCTGGTTAGTTGGATCACCCCCTCCTCAAGGTTTGGGCTTCGGTGTTTTGCGCTTCCTTCCCTCTTTCTTTACAGTCGTAGACTTGAAGGAGGGGTGTTAGATGTTGGCTCCTCCAGGTGGAGATAAATCCGTGAGGAATATAACTTCATTGCCTGTTTGGTGAGCCGTAGTGGCGCAATGGTTAGAATCAGTGGTGGGATTCAGCCAATTCACACCTAGTCGGGAGAACCGGTTGTTAACTTTCTAAGCAGTTCAGAGAACCGGCTGTTTGAAGAAATCTCACTTTGGGTTTTTTCCACTTAACAAGGCTAATCCTGTAAGGAAGGCAGGAAGGAAACATTTTGGTGTTTCTATCCTTATCTTTATCGCTCTGCTTAAAGAAACTGCCTCTCCAGTTAACCCTTATTACATTGTAACAGCTAAGACAAAGCCCCCATCGACGTCAGTGACGTTGAGTTGGCCACGCCCACCCAGACACATGACCACCGAGCCCGGCCTACCCAGCTGGTCATTAGGGCAGAGAACCGGTTGTTAAATTATTTGAATCCCACCACTGGTTAGAATGCAGTAATGCAGGCTAACTCTGCCGACTGCCAGCAGTTCAATTCTGACCGGCTCAAGGTTGACTCGGCCGTGCATCCTTCCGAGATGGGTAAAATGAGGAGACTGTTGGGGGCTATAGGCTGACTCTGTAAACTGCTTAGAGGGGGCTGTAAAAGCACTGTGAAGCGGTATATAAGTCTAAGTGCTACTGCTCTTGCGGTGAAGCATTTGGGGCGTCGGTGAATTCCTGACAGGACATGGCAGCCTTCCTGGAATCCATGCAGGGTATCGGGATCAGCTCTGCAGTTCTGTTAATTTTTTTCTTTTCTTTTAAGATTACTGAATTTATATGCCATCAAACTCCCAAGTGAGTCTGGGTGGTTTAACTCACCTTTTTTTAAAAAAAGTAACACTCAGCATGAAGAGCACAACTGGTTTAACTTGTCTGCTATAATTGCAGTTACAACAGACGAATCTGCTTTCTTGATACGGGATAAATCAGGTTAATATCTTGAAAACTGGAAGTTCCTGGTAGTCTTCAACTCACAACTATTCATTTCCCAACTGTTTGCAGTGACGACGACACGGAAGTGGGGACTTACAACTGGTCACCTCGATGACCTTTGCGGCATCTCCCCAGTCACATGATCAAACTTGGCCGCTGTCATGGACTCAGGAGGGTGGCTGCATGCTGGGGTCACGTGATTGCCATGTATGACTTTTCCAGCTGGCTTACCACAAGCCAAGTCAATGGGGGAAGGCAAATTTAATGTTTAACGACTGCACGGTTCACTTAACAACTGTAGGAATTCAATGAACAGCCGTGGCAAAAACCAGTAAAACAATATCGGGCACAGCTCGCTTCAGTACCGTGCTTAGTGGTGGAAATTCTGGCCCCAATTTGTGGACATAAGTTGAGGACTATCTGGAGATGGGTGTTCTCAGTTCTGCCGGTTTTTCAAAATTTTCCAAAAATAATAATAATTGAAAATGAATTGCTAGCTGAGCGGTGGCTCAGTGGCTAAGACACTGAGCTTGTCGATCAGAAAGGTCAGCAGTTCGGCGGTTTGAATCCCTAGGGCTGCATAACGGAGGGAGCTCCCAGTTACTTGTCCCAGCTTCTGCCAACCTAGCAGTTGGTTCGAAAGCATGTAAAAAATACACCTTTGGTGGGAAGGTAACAGCGTTCCTTGTGCCTTTGGCATTGAGTCATGCCCACGGAGACGTCTCCGGACAGCGCTGGCTCTTCGGCTTTGAAACGGAGATGAGCACCGCCCCCTAGAGTCAGGAACAACTAGCACATATGTACAAGGGGAACCTTTACCTTTATATATGCCAGGAATCAGCCATTTTCCCCAGGCACATCTGAGAGATCCACCAGCCAAGGGGGGGCATAGCATCTGTCGGATGGTGCCATCTCACCAGCAATGATAGGTGCCCCACCTGCCACTTTTATAACCACGTGATTTATATTTGGATGCTTTGACAACTGACTCACATTTATGACAGTTGCAGTGTCATGGGGTCATGCCCTCCCCTTTTGTGACCTTCTGACCAACAAAGTCAATGGGGAAGCCATGTTCACTTAAGAACCAACCGCGTGGCTTAACAACTGCAGTGATCCACTTAGCAACTGCAGCAAGAAAAGTCGTCAAACGGGGCAAAGCTCACTTAATACATTTCTCACTTAGCAACATGAATTCTGGGCGCAATTGTGGCTGTTTGTCGAGGGCTCCCTGCACTTAGGACGGTTGTGGCATCTTGAGGTCCCATTTGTGACCTTCCCAGGCAACCTCCCACGAGCCAAATCAATGGGGGAAGCAAAAAGGTTGTAAAATTGGTTAAGTTACTCACTTAACGACTGCATCGCTTAGCAAGGGACATTCTCATCCTGATTGTAGTCAAAAGTGGAGGACTTCCTGTGAAAAAGATCTTTTCCACAGGGATTGAGTTTGGTTGGTTGGCGACAACTTTTCTTTACATTTATCTACAATTTCCTTGGAG